ACTCTTCTGAGACATCTGTTCTGAGGCCAGAGGCACAGTGCAGTGCGGTTCTCAAGGATGCTGAGGTAGGGCTCCTGGGGCTGGCACTCTAAGTTGTGGGAGGGGGCTTTATGGTTGACCTTTCTCTTCAAGCTCAAAACGCAGGGATCTTCCTCCAAGCTTGCTGGCTTTGCACAAGCACACTTTCCCAGGGGAGGCCCCCCACTGGTCCCTGAGAGAGGCAGCATCCTTTGGGACAAAGGGATTTCTTTAGTTCCAGATAGCTCCTCCAGTGCCCCAATAGGACACCCACGGGATGTGTCCACCTCCCTACTCACAGGCTCTCCTCTGCTCTCTTGGGAAAAGTCCAGGAGAGCCACATACTCTCCCTCTAAGTTCTGGCTGGCCACATCGTCCATCCTGAAGGCCACCTCCCCAGGCCTGGCTTGCTCCACCTTGATAAGTCCAGGGTACTTAATCTCATATGTCTTGTCTTTACCCTTGGCCAAGCTCTGGCCAAGCAGCACCTGGCTGCCTGGAGACCTGGCCTGGTGCAGCTCTTGGGGGCCACTCAAATCCAGTGCCTCTAATTGAAGGGAACCCCAGGCTGGGGAGAGAACAGTCACTGCTTGGGGTTTGTCATCCACAAACTCTGGGCTGGTTATCTTGGTCCAGGGCACAGGAACAATCCCCTCTTCTGAAGCTACCAGACAGTTGTGTAGGGGACTTCCCTCAAAGTCATTGTTGAAGGCCTCCAGCCACTCCTGGGTGAACAGTGTCGGGTAGGATGACACGGGAACAGGCTTCGTGTCCACTGTGCGGAGGTCTAACGAGAGGCACTTGATCATGATGCAGACAGACTGCTCCTCCTGAGGCTCAACTTGAAGGTAGAAGTCACTCTGGCGCAATAAGAGGGGATTGAGGGGGGCCAGGTGGACCACAACCTTGTCCTGCAGGCACAGCGGCCAGCCCTGATGCAGGAAGAGGCAGTGTGTATAGGGGGCCTGCAGAGAGAAGGGGATGATGTCAGAGAACCTGACCCTGAAAACCCCACCTGTGGATCTGCTCCCTTTCCTCTCCAAGAAGGAATCTTGAACAGGTTGGGGGCTAAGGTGAGGCCAGAGAGGTGCCGAGGATGTAGCATCTAAGGAAGCCCCGCTGTCAGGGTCCCACAATTCGCACAGCCCTGAGAGTGAGTGCCTCTGACATGTACCTTCGATGCCTCTTGTCTCACCCTGGTCTTGGCCCTGACCTTAAAAATACTTGCTAACCTACTGGTCCAAGAGAGAAAAGCTTGAGTTCTAGGTACTAGTTAGCAAGTCCATTACCCATGAGGATTGCCCTATTGACTCATGCTCCCTTCTCCTCCCCATCTATCAAGCCTGAGCCCTCCCCGATAATCTTATATAATCTGGCTGCTGTGATTGGTCCAGGGATGGACATAGGACCCAAGCCTGGCCAATCAGGATCCTTCCTTGCAATTTTTCTATCTGCAGCTGATGGGAAAGAATTCATCTTCCCCTCCAGGAGATGGTTTGAACCCAGAGCGGTCCTGGGCTCCAGCCTTGCGGGAACACTTAGCCTCTAAGAATGACGCTGGCAAGCAAGGAGAAGCAGAGACGGAGACAGAAGGTCCTTAAGGAAATTGATTGGTGGATAAATTTGGGTCAGAGGCCAGAGCACCCTGTCCCTATCTGAGGAAGGACCCATCATTTGCAGTCAGTGAGTCCTGCCTAACACACTTTTCTTTCCATTTTGCCTCAGGAGCTGCCTCCCTGAGATCTGGGTTTGAAGGGATCTGGGAAGAAAGGCCTCAAGGGCTTCAGAGAAGGTCTGGAACATTCTCTGCTATTTCTATTGAAGCTGTTCTACTTCAGCCAAGGCAGCTTGGCAATGCCTACAATGCCAACCCCAAGGCAGGCTCCTGGGGGCCGGGGAACCCAGACGACCCTTTATCCACGCCTTCCTCCCTGCTAGTGAAAGTGCAAACACAACGGGCTCCTGGATGTCAGAGAGTAAAGGGCCAGTGGCCCTCCTGCTCCATTTGGAGGGCATCCTTTGGGACTTACACAGGCTGCTTCTCGGACTTGCTCACATAGGCGCTTGGCAGGGATCAGGAAATCCAGGAGGAAGCTCAGCCCGTCCCCCCGGAAGTCAGCGTCCAGGAGGTGGAACACCTGCCCCAGGACAGTGGGCGCTGTGGCCTCAAAAGGAGGGTAGAGGCCTGCCAGGGCGTTCTGGATGGCTGCGTCCAGGGATGGAGCGTCCTGGGGGGACAGGAGAGGAGGATAAAAGGGATAGTAGCAGTAATTACAAGGGTAGAAGCCACTTCCCATGACCTTCCAGGCCCCATATGACTAAGGCCCCTGTGACTCTCTGACCTCCTCTCCTGCTCCTTCCCCTCACTCGCCTCCTCCAGCCACACTGGCTTCCTTCCTGTTCCTCCACTGGCGACCACCCCACCTCAGAGCCTTTGTACCGGCCGTTCCCTCTGCCTAGAATACTCTTCCTCAAGACATCCTCATTGCCTCACTTCCTGCACGTCTTTGCTCAAACGTCATTCTCTAGTCCAAGGTGGAATGGAGGAATGAAAGGAGGCATCCAGGTCAGGGTCAGAGGGAAAGGGGAGGTCAGCATCCCCCAATCCCACCACCTGGATGACCTGCAGACCTGCATTTTGAAGCTGAGCTACCAGTGAATCTGAGCCTAGATCAGACAATCCCAGTCAGTATGCAAGTGCCTGAGTGATAATAAGTGGCTGTTTTTTACTACTGAGTTTTGGGGTGGATTGTTACACAGCAATAACTAATTGATCCAAGTCTATATAATTAACATATGAGTCCCAGATTCGTATATCCAGCTGCTTTCTGGACACCTCCCCTAGAGGTCTATCAGACACAGACCATCAACATATTAAACTCAACTCAGTACCTTCCTTAACCTACTCCTCCCCCCTCACTCCCCACTGTGTCCCCACATCAGCAATGAGCCCACCATCCAATCAGCTGCTAGGCCAAGAAATCTGCTTATCATGCTGCCCCCTCCTCCTGCCTCCCCTGCCCACAAACAGCCCTCGGCCATGACCTGTACAGTCTTCTTGCCTCCAACAGCTCACCAACACACCCGCTCTGCTCTGTTCTGCTCCCCTGACCCCGCCCTGATCCAGATCCCCATCACCTGTTCCATTGAATCACCTCCTCATTGGCTTCCAACCTCTAGTCAGCCTCACTTCCAGCCACTCTACCAGGACCCCCGACTTTCTCAAATGCAAGCCTGACCTCCTCAGTCTCCTGTTCAAAACCTTAAAGGTTCCCCATTGCCTTCAGAAACCATCAGCCTCCAGGCATCCAGACCCTCCGTGATCTTGCCAGTGTGCGCCTCTCTGGTCTCCCCTCCAGCCTCACTGCCCCTCTCATGCTTCAGCCACGATGGCACATGCGTTCCCTCGCTCACCTCCAGGCCTTTGCACATGCTGCTCCTTCCCCCAGGATGCCTTCCACTTCCGTTCCCTCTTCATCTGGCTAACTCCTCATCCTTCAAGATTCAAGTCCACCGTCATCTCTTCCAGGAGATTCTCTCTGACCCCTTCCCTGCCCCCCGCCCCCGCCCCCATTCCCCCTGGGTCAGGTGTCCCCTTTTCTGGGCTTCTAAGGTGCCCCTGTCATAGCAATTCCCACACTGATTGTTGACTCTCTCAATGGACTCCAGGCTCCCTGAGAACAGGAATGGTAAGCAGAATAAGGGTCCCCTAAGATGCCCATAGCCTAGTCTCTGGAACCTGTGAACATGTTACCTTACAAGGCAGAGGAATGAATGCTGCAGATGAAATAAAGGTTGGTGATCAGCTGATCTAAAATAAAAAGATTATCCGGGATTATCCAGGTGAGCTCAATCCAATCACAAGGGTCCTCAAAAGTGCAGGAAGGCACAGAAGAGGCAGGAGCCAGAGGGAAATGTGACTATGGAAGAAGGATCAGAGAGATGCGACGCTGCTGGCTTTGAAAATGGAGAAAGAGCCAAGGAATGTGGACGGCTCTTAGGGGCTGGAAAACACAGCAGGTTCTCTCAAGAGGCTCCAGAAAAGAATGCAGCCTGCCAACGCCTGATGTGAGCCCAGGGAGACCCCCGTTGGACTTCTGCTCTATAGAACTGCAAGACAATTGACTCGCGTTGCTTTAAGTTACTGCGTTTGTGATCATTTGCTTCAGCAGCAATAGAAACTGACACAGCAGGCACTGGCTCCTATTGCTCTAGGGCAGCGGTTCTCAAGCTGTGGGTCACGACCCCTTTGGCGGTCAAACGACCCTTTCCCAGGGGTCGCCTAAGACCATCCTGCATATCAGATATTTACATTATGATTCATGAAGTAGCAACGAAAATAATTTTATGGTTGGGTCACAACATGAGGAACTGTATTTAAAGGGCCAGAAGGTTGAGAACCACTGCTCTAGGGTCTTCAGTCCCTGGCACAAAATAGGTGCTCAGCAAATGTTGTGGAAAATGGAACAAAATGTACCCCGCTCAACCACAGTTTTTCCATCTGTAACATAGGCAAGTTGGACAAGGCCAGAGGTGTCCATCCAGATACAATAACAGAATCCATGGATATGATTTTCAACCTTTGAGAAGCATATGGAGGCCATTCTGGGCACCCCAGCTCCGAGACCATCTATCGAGGAATGTATAGGAAGAGGAGAATAAATAAGAATCACCATGTATATAGTAGGGGTCCCTGGAGACAGGGAAATAACACTGGGCCTTAGAGGAGGAGGAAGATGGCATTTCTCGAGCCCAGCAAGATGCCAGGAGGCTGTAAACAGGGAACACTAGCCCAGGGCATTTAGACAGATGTCAGTGTCACCGCTGTGTCTTCAGTGCCCACACAGTGCTGGGCACCAGACAGCCCTTCACAGCTTGTAGAATGAATGAGTGGATGCCTACAGCCCCCGCTCTGCAGGAAAGAGGCACCTGGCACTGTCCTGGTAGTAAGCTCAGGGACCTGATGCCGAAAGTGCACGTGCCCACGAGGGGGTGTTTTCACACTGAGGGGGAGGAGGGTCTTTAATTTGGCAGACTGGTTGGCTCATCTGACCTGGTGTCCCTTTAGGAACACCACTCTGTATCATTGTAGAAAAAGAGGCAGATATACCAGCATTTGCTGACTATAGGCCAACTGGAGTAACTGATTTAAAGCCGTAAGCACCACCACCTACCCCTCCCCCGGCGACCCCTGTTCCTCCAACTCCCCAACCTGTAGCCTCTACACCGTCAGCCCCCCGCCCGGCTACTCCTGCTGGACCAAAGGGAAGGTTGTTTGTTAGCCCTCTTGCAAAGAAATTGGCAACAGAGAAGGGGATTGACCTTACACAGTAAAAGGGGATTGACCTTACACTCTTCCAATGCTCCCCCAAGCAAGGCTAAGCTCCAACAGTTATTCACCCCCAGTCCCTGCACTGCTAATGATCACGGTGGGAACGGGAATAGGGAGTTAGAGGACCACGTCTAACATCCATGAGCACAGACACACTAAGTCGATCAAGCAGCAGGTCCCCCACCACAGGCCCTCCCCACACCACCCGCCTTCCCTGGGGCATTGGCCCCCGGGTTCCACATCACTGTGCCACCCAGGGCAGCTGCCTTCCTTCTCTGGGCCTCTTTCCTCGTGTGCACATGGAGTTGGCCTAAGTGGGTTTCATTTTGTTTTTGGAACTTTAGTCATTCACGGTCACCTTCATGAATGTTAGCATATGCTAGCCATTTTTACTATTAGCACTTACTGTTTTTTTCCAAACCCACTCACTTTTTAAAGACTTGCATAATTGTATTTTAAATGGAGACTCTGTGTCACCATACTGGTTATGAGAATGCAGCCAGATTGCCCACGTTCAAGTTCTGGCTCTGCCACTTACTGGTCATGTGACCTGGCAAGTTTTGTTTGTGTGTTTTTTTTAACTCTTCTCTGCCTCAATTTCCTCATGGGTAAAATTGTACCTGCCTAAAAGAGTTGAAGGAGATTCAATGATAAAATAAACATATTCTCTGCATGGGATGGCCACCTAGTAAGCGCTCATTAAGCAACAGCCATCACTGCTACTTTTGTGTTCATATTACAGTTATTATTTTGTCATCACTTTAAATGGAAAAATCTGTATCAACTGGCATAAATACAATGAAACTCCAAAAATAAACCAGCAATGCATTGGGTGGTTTTTATATTTATTTTATTTATATAAATATGTTTATATTTATTATTATAATAGCTATAGTATATATCTTATATAAATATATTTATATAAATATTATAACAACTAAATAATAAATAGTTCTTATGTAAAATTATTTTACTGCTCTACTTCTATAAATTATTTAAAAATTTTAAATCCTCACCTGAGGATATGTTTTTGTTGTTGTTTTATTGATGTTAGAGAGAAAGGGAGAGAAACATTGATGTGAAAGAGAAACATTGATCGGTTGCCTCCTGCACACAACCCAATTGACAATTGAACCCACAACCTGGGCATGTGCCCTGACCTGGAAATGGGACAACACTCCAATCAACTGAACCACAGGGCTAGAAAATATTTTTTTAAAGAAAAAAAAATAATGAAAACAAATACTGCCATGAAATTCTAGAGACAGCTGGTCACTTCCTAAAGGCTCAATAATTTTCTCTCTTCCAAAAAAAGGTTGTCCTGCATTAGGAAGGTGGTAAAAGACAGGCAGCATTCTCTCTGGGTCCTCAGGAGATCAGAGAATTCAGAAGGGACCGACTCTCAACACACCACTCCATGTCATTTAGTTCCAGTCTGTGTCCCAGCTGTGGTCTGCATCCCAACCTCTGGAAGCAATGAGCTAAACCATCTCTTCCTTGATGTGCCTCAGTTTCCAAATCTGTAAGTAGGGATTCTAGTTCTTATCCTGTCTCGCTCAGAGGTTGACCTGGAGATACAAGATAACAGATGTAGGGGATCTTGGGAAAAGTAAAAGGTGATGCTGCTGCTGCTATTGTTATTAGTTACTTATTTTTACTCATCCTGTCAGAGGAAGCTCAAGTCCTGGCCTCTGTGTAAAGACATCTTCCCCCTCCTGGTCCCTTCCACTTACCGTCACCCCAAGAATAACAACAGTGTCCAGACGTCTACTATGCACCAGGGCCTCTATTCATACTCACTTGCTTAGGCACACGGAGATCTTAGGGGCTAAGCAGAAACATCCCATTTTTCAGATCAAGAAACTGAGGCTGATTTTGCCCAAGTTCCCACAGAGAAGACAGAGCCAGAATCCAACCCAAGTCCAGATCAACCAAGTGTGCCCTCCTCTCAGGTCCTTATGCTGGTCAGTTTGGGGCCACCAGCAGCCGCCAGCCTCGGGGGTGGCCTTCCCAACGGCCCCTCCTGCGCTGTTTCGCGTGGCCCTGGAAAAGCTGTTTGCTTCTCACAGACCAAGGCTCGCAGCCTGGGACGCCCTTGGCTTTCACAAGTTGGCTCAGCTGCCTGCACACACGGTAACCATTTAAGGGGCAGCCAGTAACGAGGAAGAATGTTCCAAGTTAACAGGACTCCGAGCTCTTGGCCAGAGCGTTACCTGCCACAGCCTGAACCCCAGGGGCTCATAAGCTGTCCATGTATTGGGGGAAGCACTCTGTGAAGGGGACCAGGCGGCTGCAGGAAGGAAAGCTGGCGACTCTCCATCCACAATCGACCTGGCAGCCCAGCCTGGGACCACAGGAACCCAAACATCGCCGGCCAGACGTGGGCCCCTCAAAATGATTTCCATGAAACTTAATCGACCCGTTTCCATTCCTTCTCCGTGAGCGCAGCCCGGCTGGGCCTTTAACTGTTCCTCGGCAGGAGCCCAGGCAGGAGACAGCGTGACGCTGGAAGGGAAGAGGGGAGACAGGCCAGAGCGGTGTGCAGCCTCAGCCCCGCCCTGCAGCCCAGGCCAGGGAAGGAGCCCCCAAGGGGACAGGCCGAACCAGCCCACAGGGCTGGCGCCTAACAATGCTCACGGGCCTTCTGGACTGACACGGGGACCTTGTATGGAGCCGATGGACCCCCAGCAGTTCCATCTGGGCAAGGGGAGAGAGAAGAGGAAGGTTTTTGTATACTTCTGTCTCAATGTCTTTGTAATGAGCCTCTATTATGATTGTAATCCTGAGTATTATCTGTATATAGTAAAATAAACACACATGAAGTGCACAGGGTAGTTACATACTCCTGTGACTACTGCCCACATCAATATACAGGACTTCCACCACCCCAAAAAGAGGCCCCCTCCCCGGCCTCCCCCACCCCAGGAGTAGCCACTCTTCTGACTATTGGAATGTTTTAAAAGAGAAATCCCCACAGTCTGCTCTCCACTGTGGAAAACCATGTGTGAGCCAAGAGACCATCAAAGGGTGTTAACGGTGGTTCCCCCTGAGGGCTGCGAAGGGGAGAGGCACCATTTTTATTCTCTTCATAGTTTCACTG